GCATTCCTCAGATGAGAAGTCCTTTCAGGAGCCTTTCTTCAGAGGCTAGCCGGAGAGAGGAGCTCCAAAAGCCTGAAGTTGAACCTCCAGTGTGCCCAGCGTGGAAATTAAGGGACGCCACACTGCCCTCTGGTGACAGCTCGGCCTGGGCCTTGCTCTGCAGCTTTTCCTCTCCCTTTGTTCCCCGCACCAGTAGAGCTGTATTTCCCAGCAAACCAGAGCCTCCTCTGGTGGCCTCAGGGTCTGCTCCTCTCTCTGCCTTCCTACATTGCCTTCAGGATGTAAAAGTGGAAACACTAGCCAGATGTCCTCTCCCCAGCTGTCCTTTTGTCTCACTGCTGAACCAGCTGTTTAGCATTCCCAACCACTGGCTCCCTGATGGACAGACTATTGGATACTGTCCATCTGAACAACTTATTCTGAGTTGGCTGATTATGTTTTTTTAAACTACAAGTAATAATTTGCTTGACCTACTGGCTCTCTAATTGACCTACTAACCCTAAATAACTAAACATCTGGTAAGTTTGAACTGCTTACCTGGCCGACTCTTCCACTCACCCACCGAATGACAATGCCCAGCAGGGGGCTGCAAGACTGACAGCCTGGGTGCACAGCTAAGAGTAACATATATGGGAGAAGGTGCCCTTTTCTAACGCCCTGACTCCTGTAGGTGCTTGGAGCCCCCCTCTTCTCCCTCTAGAACCACTAGAAGGCTGCAGAGAGGGCAACCAGAAAAACGCCTTCTGACCTGCCTCTAGTGAGGTTCCTGACAGAGCCTCACAGATGGGTTTTCATAGTATAGATATGAAGATGTGGTTTACCTGGGAAGAGGGCTCAGAGGTTTCAGTGGACTCTGAAGAGTCTGGCACATACACATACATCCAGAACTACTGCTCTGGGAAGACTCTCAGCAGATCCATTCAGATATGCAAAGCCTTTGCCTGAATTCAAGCACCATTTCTCCCTCGCAGCAGGCCAGGTGGTAGGACAGTGACTAGGAAGAGTCAAAGTCCTAGTGGACATGGATGTTGAAGTAAGGACAAAGGCTGAGCTCTAGGTGATGTTTCCAGAAAGACGCCAAAGAGGCCCCAAAAGGCCCATTGTCATTTTGGGCAAACACACTTAGCCTGAGATGGCAGGGCACACTCAGCTCTAGGCAGACTGTATTTGAGCTGAGATGAAAGATACGTTTACCAGGACCCATGACTGAGGCAGTAAGTATGTGTGTGTGTGATCATGAGTAGCTATGTGGCTGTGTGTATTTTCATACCAGTGTGTTCACAAAGCTGGGTATATCTGGGAGTTGTACAGCTCTGTGCATGAATGCCCTTTGGGCCAAAGTGTGCATCTCAATAGTTTTGTGAATGGATTTGCACGTGTGTGCTCAGTCCTTGACCCCCTCAAGTGTTTTTTTATGGGGAGGAGGGGGGTTGAGACAGATTATGAGTAAGAATTTCACTAAGTGTAAATATCTGCAAACATGCAAATATTTCCAGAAATCTGGAAATCCTCAACATGTCCCTCTCCCTGAGTCATCACCACACTGCCTGCCATTGCCACGGTTGGCTCTTATCTCCCTGGACTAGTGCTAGGTCCTCAATGCCCTCCCCTCCCCACCCTGCGGAAAACAGCCACAGTGACCTCAGTAACATGATGTTAGGGTCACAGCGCACCCCTGGCTAAGCCAATAACAGCTTTACAATGTCAGGGATAGCGCCCATCTCTACAATCTGTGTCTCAAGGGTCCTTTCAAGGTCATAGCCTTACTCATTGGTGACTCTGCCCAGAATTTGGGTGTGTCTCCCCTTAACCTAGTCCTATGCCAACAAATTCGGCTCAGATGCCTCTTCTGACAGTAATACGAGGTCTTGCATCTCAGCGTTAGCACAGGCAGCAATTGGCAATTGTAATTGACAGGCACCCAAGTCAATTTGTCACATCCCACCCCAGATCCCCTCCCCAGCGGACAAGGAGCCCGAAGTGCAGACGGTGGGAGACCAGGTGGGCTTGGGCGCATAGATCTCTTCCCTTGCCCTGGCCCCCTGCCCCCCATCCCGGAGCAATAGACCCTATGCTGGGGGGGGGGGAGGGGGACGGAAATGCGCATGCGCAACGAACAGTGTGCACTATGACTCCCAGAATCCTCTTGATGAGACTCCATTTCCCAGAAAGCTCCTGGCGTTCCTACTCCGGAAGTGAGCTTTTTTTTTTTTTTTTTTTTTTTTTTTTCCAAAGCGGAAAATGAGGCAAACCTTACAGTGGAGACGGATTCTGAAAGGGGCGGGACGCTGCGAGGTGCCGCGGAGTATTGACCTCCAGGGGTCGCGCTTGAGTCAGGGAGGCCCCAGCTCCGGGAAAGGCCGGGGCCACAGCCCTCCCCGCGCTTAGCTGCGCGGCGTCCCGGTTCCGCCGCCCGCAGTCCATCTGCCGCTCCGGTTCTGTCGGCCCGAAGCCGCTGCAAACTCCCTGCCCGCCTCTGGGTGTCTCCGGGGACAGAGGCCGATAGCGAATGCACATGTTTCCGGGGACCCCTTGTTCCCAACCCCGCATGGCCCGTTTCCCAGGGGGAAGAAGTGAAGCCCGTGGCCCCAAGGGCATGGCCCACGGGGCTCCATGTGTGAGTCCCTCCGCTCTGCTGCTCCCTCCAGCCATGGCCGCAGGAGAGGGAGCCATGGGGAGGGGGGCGGAGTGGACAGCAGCGGGAGGGGGAACATCTATGGTTCCCAGGGAGATGACTTCCTGGGACACTGGCCCTGAGGCTTTGCACAGCCCGTCCACGACGTTTCAGATGCCTGGGTTCCGGAGAAAGCCTCCTTCCTCAAACCCCGGCAACGCCTGGGGTCCTACTGCCTGTTTGTCCTTTACCCCCTCAGGCCACTGAGGTCACCGACCTGGAAATGGGAGCAACTGGTGGAACTGGGGTTGAATAGGAGACTGGAGCACTGGACGGAAGGAGTGGACTGAGAGGGAACACCTGCAGGGCATTAGGGCTGGAAGTTACTGGGTCAGAATAGGAGGGTTTAGGGGACAGGGGTGATGGACGGAGTGAGGGAATGTGACCTGCCGTCACGGTACATCTCAAAAGGAAGGAATACAGGCAGGCAGTGGATGGACACATTTCTCAGAGCTCTGTTTCTTTATGAGGCCACAAATCAGTAATTTAGTTTTGTTCCAAACATTTTAAATGAAATAAACACTTGCCCATGGGCCTGTGGGAGTTAAAAACCATTCCCCCCTCCTTCTGCTAGTAATTCTAAGTTTCTCAATATTGCCACACTCCTCCATGCTAGCTGTGGAGGTCCCCGAGACCCTTTTAGGGGACCTGCAAGGTTAAAACTGTTTCACAGTAATGCAAAGATTTATTTGCATTTTTCATTGTATTGACATTTACTTTTAAAACGGTGTGTACCCCCCTCCCCAAGAGGAAACAGACAATTTATGTTTCTCTCTCTGAAATCAATAAAAATCTTTTTTTTTTTTAAATAACAAAACAGCCGAAACCGGTTTGGCTCAGTGGATAGAGCATCAGATGCCTGCGGACTGAAGGGTCCCAGGTTTGATTCCGGTCAAGGGCATGTACCTTGATTGTGGGCACATCCCCAGTGGGGGGTGTGCAGGAGGCAGCTGGTCGATGTTTCTCTCTCATCGATGTTTCTCTCTCATCGATGTTTCTAGCTCTCTATCCTTCTCCTTTCCTTTCTGTAAAACAAAATCAATAAAATATATATTTTAAAATATATATTAAAAAATAAAATAAAAATAACAAAACAGTATATAGGCCCTGGCGGGGTAGCTCAGATGGTTAAAGCATTGTCCTGATATACTAAAAGTTGGGTTTTATTCTCAGTCAGGGTGCATACTAGAATCAACCAATGAATGCATTAATAAGTGGGACAATAAATCTCCCTCTCTTTCAATCAATAAATAAGAAAACTTTTTAGCCGAAACCGGTTTGGCTCAATGGATAGAGCGTCGGTCTGTGGACTGAAAGGTCTCGGGTTCGATTCCAGTCAAGGGCATATACCTTGGTTGCGGGCATATCCCCAGTAGGGGGTGTGCAAGAGGCAGCTGATCGATGATTCTTTCTCATCGATGTTTCTAACTCTCTATCCCTCTCTCTTCTTCTCTATAAAAAAAATCAATAAAATATATTAAAAAAAGAAAAGAAAACTTTTTAAATAAATAAAAAAAAATGTTATATAAAGCTGCTAGCGCCTTGGCATGAATCAAGGCCATGGCATTGAGCTCTATTTGCAGTTCCTGTGTTTCTCACCAATGCTCTTGGAGGGAGGGAGAGCCAATTTCACCCAAGAATGTCCTTCATGAAGTCGTTGAAAGTAGTCGTTATACTAAATTTTGAACCTTGAGTCCATGTCCTTCCGTATTCTGTGTGGCAGGATGAAAAATAGACGTAAAGCGAGTCTGCTGCATACCAGTGCTCTATGTTTGTCTTGAGGAAAAGTGCTGGGAAAAGCAATGACGTATGCAGTTTTCCCATCCCTATACAGTTGCATAAGAACATGCCTTGTGCCTAGAGCACATGTGTCAAACACAAGGCCCGGGGGCCAAATTCGTCCCGCCAGACCTTGCAATGTGGCCCGCACAGCGCTGTCATCACTGCACTCCGCTGCGTTTCCATCACAATGACAGTTTATGACTGTTCAGTAAACCATTCGGCCCGTGATTTAGGCTGGATTTTAGATTTTGGCCCCTTCTCTGATTTAGTTCAACACCCCTAGCCTAGAGCATTTCCTTCGAAAGAGAAAGGGCTCTGACGGCCCATGCTGGTCACCTCTCTTCTGGGGACATCTTTCCCTGTTCTGGACTTGATGTGTCCTTCCTCCTCCTGCTAAAGCACGTGTGTCCTATGGCACCTGACCAGCCCTACAGGGGCTGTATCTGTTGCTAGCAGGGAGGGAAGGGGGGTCCTTCAGCTGTAGCCAAAGAGAGGAGTACATGCGGTTCAGACATGCTGGCCATGGGGGAAACTCAGGATGGAAGCTGATCTCGCTCTTTCTCTTCTCCAGGTGAGTCAAGTGTTGCTCCATCCAGTGCCTGTGTGAGTCTGGCCTGCCATGGCAGCCCCCGCACCTGCAGACTATGGAGCAGGTTGATGTCCTGGGAATGCTGTGCCCGATGGCAGGTATTGTTACTCTATTTGCAGTGGGGTTCCTCCTCCTGGGGAGGGAGTCGTAGGTATCGGTTGGCAAAAAGCAACGCCGTCCTTGTTCAATAGGCTAGCGGAACTAGACTCCCCAAAACACACCTCTTTTACTTGGATGACTGATGGAGTGATTACTTGGACTTGGTGTTTGGTAGACATTTCCCACCAAATGAACAAAATGAGATTGTCATTTCGAGGGAAATAACTGACATTATTTGTTGATAATGATAACATTTGATCTTTCAGGCATAAATTAGAATTTTGAAAACCTCATCTGCCACATCACTTGACAGTTTCCCAGTGTTTAAAGGATTTTTCTGATGAGCTGGGTGATGATATCTGCAAGTGTGATTTTTTTTTTCTCTTACATTGAATAAGGTGTCAACATTGGGAAGATCTGCATAATTCAGATATCTGTTGTTGCAGAACAAATTACTCCAAATGTAGTGATTTAAAGCAGCACACATTTATTATCTCTCCGTCTCTGTGGGTCAAGGATTTGACTCAGGTAGACGGTTCTGACTTAGGGTTTCTCCGGCAGCCGCAGGGAAGATGTCTGTGGAGGCTGCCGCCATCTGAAAGCTTGGCTGCATTCAGCTAGCATGTGTGCGTCCAAGAGGCACGCTCCCATGGCTGCTGGCAGGTGGCTCAGTCCCTCACCACCTGGGTTCTCCACAGGGCTTTCAGTATCCTCGCAACATGGCAGCCAGCTTCCCCCAGAGCAAAGTGACCCGAGAGAGAGAGGGAAAATAAAAGCCTATAACCTACTCTCAGAAGAGACACTGTGTAATTTCCAATACATTCTGTTCATTAGAAGTGAGTCATACTCACAGCCCACATGCAAGGAGAGGGAAAATAAGCTCTGCCTCTTAAAGGGAGAGGTACCAAAGAATGTATGGACATATTCTAGTAGTAACACTTCACTTAGTGATCCAGTGTTTTCCAAATGACCTTCATGAAATGACAGAACCAGGATGCATGGGTAAAAGCTATATTCCAATTCAAAATGGCCAGTGGATTTTTATTGTAACAGCTTGAAAAGTTCGTTGATAATAGTTTTAGATTCTGCATTGCTACTAACCAATAAGAAGCTATCATTTTTTTGTTTTGGTATAGTATCAAAAAAGAGTATCCATACTTATCTGAAAAGGCTATTAAAACACTCCTATCATTTCCAACTACATATCCCTGTGAAGCCAAATTTTTTTCATGTACTTCAACCAAAGCAACATCAGAACCCACTGGAATGCAGAATCAGATATTGAACCAAACAGAGATTTGCAAAAATGTAAAACTAAAGCTCTTCTCACTAATTATTTTTTGCTTTGGAAAATATGTGGTTTGTTTTCTTTTATGTAGGGTGTGTGTGTGTGTGTGTGTGCATGCACATGTGTATTAACAAGTATTATATTTATTATTGGATTTTTAAAATGAATTAAATATTTTTAAATGTTCTGTTTTAATTTCCAATATGGTAATTACTGCTAGATATAACCAATCCTATATAATAAAAGGCTAATATGAAAATAGACCAAACAGCAGAACAACTGGTTGCTATGACATGCACTGACCACCAGGGGGCAGATGCTCAAACAGGATCTGCCCTCTGGTGGTCAGTGTGCTCCCACAATGGGGAGTGCCACTCAGCCAGAGCTGGGCTCACAGGTGGTGAGCACAGGAGTGGTAGCGGGAGCCTCTCCCGCCTCCATGGCAGCGCTAAGGATGTCTGACTGCCAGCTTAGGCCCGCCCCCTGCATGGGCCTAAACTGGCAGTCAGATATCCCCTGAGGGCTCCCAGACTGTGAGAAGGCGCAGAACAGGCTGAGGGGACCTCCCTCCACCCCCAGAGTGCATGAATTTTGTACACTGGGCCTCTAGTATAAACAGAAGTTCTTTGGAATCCTCCATAATATTTAAGAATATAAAGGGGTTTGCAAACCAAAAAATTTAAAAGCCTCTTGTTTAAGCAATCCTGATGGTCCTGTCACCATTGAAATAACATGTTTTGGTATGGGCATGTGGTGCAACTCTGCCAGTGACATACAAAGTGAAGGTGTGGTGTTTTCGGTTTAGGGTATTAAATAGAAAAATATACCTGGGTCTTCAAAGAGATTGATAATGTTCTGTCTCTTAAGCCAGATGATTGATGTTTATTAGCCTTCTTTATCTCTTACATATTAAATTATTTGAGGTGTGAAATATTTTATAAGAAAAAGATTAAAAGAGCATGTGGAAGAAGAGTCCACATCTTCTATGTAAGCATCGTGTCTATTTTGCAGCATATTCATCCAGTATATTGGACCTGAATGTGCATTGTTTGGCTCTAAAGAATTTTGTGCACATTTAATGGCTCTCTGAATCTGTGTCTGCAACATGTTTGTAATCTGAGAGACAGTCTCCACCAGACCTCTACCCACATAGGCAATCTCATCACATTAACAAGACTACCATTTCAATCCATGCAAAGTCCCTCATAAATTTTTACGTTCTCTGCTTCTGGCTTAGTCCCTCTCTTCCCTAGGGTCAGGCAAGATACCAACATCTGTCCTCTGTCACATCACATGCCAAGTTCTCTCATCTAACACCCTCCTAAGCGTAGATGTCTACTGGGCTTGCCAGTTCACTAGTTATGAAAATCGCCTCACTCATAATCGATTTTAGACTTTTTTAAGGAATTTATCTGAGCACCTTCTAACTGGAACCACAGCAGATACAAAGGCAGCCTCACTACACTAAATGTAAACTTCTCCCTTTAAGCTCACCCCCACCCCAGTAGTTCCAGGCCCCTCAGTCTCACTGAAGGACCTGAGGCTAGGTTTCTTGGTTTATCCTACTCCTCCCCTTAATGTAACTTTTTTTCAGAACTTCATAAATTAATTAATAAAATTAGAGAATTACAGAATCCAATTAACAAGTTTGAGAGGCTGCCTGAACAAAATCTGGGTTTTACCACCATGGATGAAGGGGGAATGACTATTGGGTAGGCAGAAAGAAATGTCTGTTATTGTCTATACATATGCATATTTAAAATCTTTTCATGTGCCCCGCCAGCATGGCCAAGGGTGAACCTGAGTGGGGGCGGCTGAAAAGCTTTGAAAAGACAGACAAGAGAATGAAAGCTGGGTCTCACTGAGACGCTGCTTCCCGGATGAAGAGACAGTGCCAGGGACTACATGCCATGTCTTTATTTTGTAGCAGATGCCATGAGGCAAAGTAAGGGTGTCATCGAGATGTTTACAACATTCTCCTGGGTTTTGATCCTACTCAATTACATGCACCTGATCAAGCTTTGTTTACTTGCAGCCTATATCACTCAGGCACCTGGGGCCACGTGTTCGGACCACAGGGTCAAGCTTACAACCACAGCCGTTGGCTATAATTGTATGAGGAGAGCTCTTGCCCTCCAAGCTGGGACTTGCACGTGGCCATGAGAGGACTGTGCCCTCTTGTCAGTCCAAGGCTTGTACTTGTCCAAACACTGTAGCTGCGCCCCACATTTCCACAATAAAATATATTGCTTCTGTGATTAAAAAAGAAAAGAAAGGTAATGAACATGAGGGGAAATGCATATATAAAACTAAGAAATGCAGTCCCACTGTGAGATTTTAAGACAAATATACTGGAAAGGAAGCAGACCCATTTGTTGAAATCCAATTCACTGATCAATGTACCATATTTACTTGTTTCTTTTACCTTATAAAATTTACAGCAAATTCATACTGGATAGAATTCTTTTTTTAAAATATATTGTTTTATTGATTTCAGAGAGGAGGGAAGAGGGAGAGAGAGAGAAACATCAATGATAAGAGAGAATCATTGATCAGTTGCCTCATGCATGCCTCATACTGAGGATTGAGCCTGCAACCCGGCATGGGCCCTGACAGGGAATTGAACCATGACCTCCTAGTTCAAAGGTCAATGCTTAAGCCAGCTAGGCTCATTTAATAGCATTTTAAAGAATATTCAGTCTGTCAGCCCAGATAGTTAGAAGACAAGGGACATCAAGGAAAAAATATTCAAGAGGTATATAAATGATAAAAGTCTAATAATCCAAATATGTAAGTCAATGAAAAAGGCAACCCAATTGAAAAATGGACAAATGCGAACAGGCAATTCACAGAATTAGAAATACAGTTAATCAAAAAACATATGACAAGATTTTCAACATTACTAGTAAGAAAATTACAAGATAAAACAGCAGTAAGATATTTATTTTCACAAAAATATTATCAGCTTACTATAAAAGAGTCATAATGTTGGTGAGGAGGTTTGAGATCAAGTGCTTTCATATAATTTTCTGTTGATGTGAGCATCAATTGGTACAGTGTTTTTGACAGGCAACTGGGCTTTATTTGTCACCATTAAAATGCCTGCGTTCCCTTTGAGGCAGTGGGAGAGTCAAGAACTAGTGGGAGGTGCTAGGGGAATGGATGTGATGCAAGCATGTCAAGCTCAAAGGCTAACACGGGCCAAATAAACAAAATTTAAGCTTATGTGGACCGCAAATAAACAAAAGCTTCAATTTTTATAAAAAGGTAAATTTATTTTAATAGAGACATGCTGAATACAAAGGACTGAAATAAATGAGTAATTGTTAACAAAAAAATAATAGAACATTTTAATAAAAAATACCATTTTTTTCTTGAACATTAACTTTCCAGACAATGAATAACTCCACCAGGTAATAACCATAATGAAAATCAACCTATTTTTCTTGTTCTCCAAAAGCGAAATATTTCCTGTTGCGCACCAAACAAGTCAGTCCAAGGCTAATGACATGGCAATGGGCTGCTAAAATATTCGCTGCTCGTATTAGTGGAGAGAAATGGTGCACCTGTGCGTAAGGTGCCGAAGGGAAACGAATGCAACACAATTATGGCAATCAGTCATTAGCGAACGTTGTAGTTCGTTATTAATAATTATGTATAACAGGATACTGTAAAAATTAAGTTATGAAAATTTTATTAAAACATTTTTTACATACTGTTCTATTGGCTGGGCCACAAAAATAGTCGTTATGGGCCACATGCAGATCACAGGTCGCAAGTTTGACATGCTTAATGTGTAATGGGAGGTCCTGGATCAGAGGAAATATGTTTAATGCGAGGGGCTAAAGCCTGGGGTGTAAAGGGAGGGATCTGTGGGACTGGGAGTGATTTAGGACCAGGATTGATAAAGAAAGTGGGAAAGTGACAAAGGCTTGGAGGAACCAAGAGGTACTTGAAAGGGGAAAATGAAAACAAATGGCAATGGAAGGATTAGAAACGATGGAGAAACTTGTTGGGAAGGACAAGAAGGGAAGGGGTGGGATTGGCCCAGACTGCATAGGTGAAATGGAAACAACTGGTTTTCAGTGAATTGACCCAGAGCCACTGGCAAACAGGACCTGTTAATGCTGAACAAGGCCCCTTTGGAAGGATGAGGTTTGTTAGCAAACAGGAAACAGTAACTTTCATAGAGCTGCTAACTGTGCCTTGCAGAGTTCTTTTTGCTTCCTCTCCTCTTGACTCTGTGTTCACATTGTTTGTTTATAAGAGCAACCTGAGATATTTGAAGACTCCTTAGTCTGAAGCCTCTGATAGTCATTGGTTTGTATCTTTCCCATGTGATCCTAAAATGTAAAATACAGAGACATTTGAACTGTCTCTAGTAGAAACTGTCAGGGAGATGCCCCAAATCCTGGAAGGTCATGAAAGAAGGTTCTCTCTGCAATATAGTGCAGGTATGCATAAGGGGGTGCAGAACCCAGTACTTCCACTTCTCTCTTGGTTTGAGGTAGGCATTCTCTCATGAAGTAGAGGGCCCTATGGCCACTGGCTTTCTCTGTGTTGCATGCTGCTTTCCACACAATGAACCACAAGGCCATCAGCAAGAATCTGCAGAGGGGGGCTTTATGAACTGAATTGTGCCTTCCCCAAATCTAGATGTTTAAATCCTAATCTATAATAATAAAAGTATAATATGCTGATTGATGTTTCTCTCTCATCGATGTTTCTAACTTTTTTTCCCTCTCTCTTCCTGTCTGTAAAAATCAATAAAATATGCCAAAACCGGTTTGGCTCAATGGATAGAGTGTCGGCTTGGGGACTGAAAGGTTCTGGGTTCAATTCCGGTCAAGGGCATGTACCTTGGTTGCGGGCATATCCCCAGAAGGGGGTGTGCAAGAGGCAGCTGATCGATGACTCTCATCGATGTTTCTAACTATCTCTCTCCCTTCCTCTCTGTACAAAATCAATAAAATATATTTTTTAAAAATCAATAAAATATATTTTATTAAAAAACAAAAAACTAGGGGAATGAATAAATGAATTAAATTATTATATTACATGTCTCTTGTATGGGATATGCCTTCCAGATGGACCAGAAGACCAGTCATCTGCCCACTTGCATAGTATTGGAGACATAATGATAAAACCCTCCTCAGTTTCTCTTTCTCCATTCTCTTCATTGGTGGTCACCTTTCCACAAGTAATTTTCCATCCTATATTCTTTGTTTTGTTTGAAATAACAAGTGGTCTTTTTTCTCAATTTTTACAAAGAGGCCCTTACTCTTAGCACTAAAGTATCTCCAAACCACAATATAGGATGGTTATTTCTGGGATTGTCTTTCTAGAAACATGTCCCTACAAATAGAGTCCTATGGGCTATTCTTCTTCTTCTTTTTTTTTTAAAATATATTTTATTGATTTTTTTTACAGAGAGGAAGACAGAGGGATAGAGAGTTAGAAACATCGATGAGAGAGAATCATCAGTCAGCTGCCTCCTGCACACCCCCTACTGGGGATGTGCCCACAATCAAGGTACATGCCCTTGACCAGAATTGAACCTGGGATCTTTCAGTCCGCAGGCTGACACTCTATCCACTGAGCCAAACCAGTTTCAGCCCTATGGACTATTCTTACGCTTTCAGCCCTATGGACTATTCTATTGCTCACCTCTGTCCGTGGCTATACTCCCTAGGCACTGCCCAGGCTATCATTCTCCATACTGCAGTTCTTCAGGGCTAGGTTAGGGATTTGAGTGGGATCATGTAGATTGACGGGTATCAGTTAAACAGAGGATGTTGAGTAAATATTGAATCTGGATGTCCAGGAACTTGAACTCAATTTGTAGAAGTCAAAAGAGTGAAGAAATTAGAAATTAGGGAAGGACTGGAGGCCTGAGTACAAAGGGACCGGAGTCTAAAGACATGACAGGTCTTGCTAAACTGAAAGAACAAAAATAAGAAGGAGACAGCCTCAGACTAGGGAAAGGATGAGGAGGTAAGGGACAGCTTGTTACACTGGAAGATTTTGGGAGCTCTGGGATTCAAAACACTAGCCAAACTCAGACTTAGGTTTGAACATTGCCATTTTCCTTATAGCAGCGTTTTTCAACCGCTGTTCCACAAAAATAGTCGTTATTTTTGTGGAACAGCGGTTGCCTGGTGTGCCGTAGGTGCAGACAAGACAAGAATTTTATAATTTTTCACTATTTTGTTTACTTAATATTTCATAATAAAGTAATTATAAAATACTTTCTTTGTGTTTATTTGATTCCTATTCAAGAGAATTACTTTATATATAGTCAATATAGGCACAGAGTTAAATTTTTTAACATTTTCTAATGGTGGTGTGCCTCGTGATTTTTTTCATGAAACAAGTGTGCCTTTGCCCAAAAAAGGTTGAAAAACACTGCCTTATAGAATCTCCACCTGAATTCCAGTTGATTATTCAGTGTGCCTTCCACATAGTGCTGAATTTTAAGGTCCATGAGGGCATTCTCACTGCTGTATCTTCAACACCGTAATCTAAACACAGTAGAACTCAACAAGTATGTAACGAAATTATCAATAGATGTATGCATGGATATGTAGAGAGCAATGAATGTCCAGATATATGATGGTCCGGTTTACAGTGCCTGCTCCTACTTCTCACAGCAATTTGTGATTCTCTCTGTGATGGTTTCATTTCTCCATCCACCTGCCCCCTCATAGCTATGAAAGCCCTTAGTCATTTGGTTCAAATACCCTAGCTTTGGAGACTAGCTATTTATTAACTAAACCGTTGCACCACTCACTCTTATAGCCTTAAATGAATTTGAGTTAATTCTTAACTGTTTCCTTTCTGTACATGTGTCATTTAATGGCTTGCCTTTATCTGATTTTCTCCAATTTCCTGTGCATTTGTGGTTTTCTACAGGAGCTCTCTACCAGAGGCCTCAAACAGCTGCTCCAAACTAGTGTGGGCACCTACGTTTTCTAGGAAGGCTCTCCTGCTGCTCTGGGTTTCATCAAACTGGTGTCCATCCAAGTATTCCCACCCAATGGTATTTATGCTGGAAGAGGAGGAATGCCCTCCCCAGGGCCAGTTCTTGGAGAAAAGAATTGTTGATCTAGCCAGAGCCCCAGCAAAAGAAAGATTACTCTGCAACAGCTAAAGGTTGGTGACTTATTTCTTTTCCAACTCAGTGAAAGCTGCCCATGTTTGCTTTCTTTCCCGTGAATTTCATTAGTGTATTTTCTCCACATGACCTTTGGAATAAACAGGAAGGAAAGGTGTTAAATCAATAGATAGTTTCATGGGGGACAGAGAGTTTATCCATCATCGATTCCCTATATCTAGCATAGTGCATGACATGTAGATTCTCAATAATTGTTTGATGAAGGAAGGAAAGCAAGGTAGGAGGGAAAGAGAGAAAGGAAGAGACTTAAAGAATTGGCATGAATGGAAAGGATGTGAATGTATTATTCAGAAATAATATGACGATAACAGTTGTGTTTTCAAAGTTAACCAAGTCCATTGTCACTGACACATAGAATCCATAAAACAAATGAAATCACTCTGTAAAATGAAGGGTGTATTTATAAAGGTAAAAGAACAGTAGACAACCAGAATAGCAACAAATATACTCTGGAACTTAGGCATAACGATAAATAACTGGTTATATTTTAGGATAAATTCAAAACTGCGATGGGATAGTCATTTGTTCTGTCTATGCCCAGTTCTCAAAAGCAAATTAAAACAACCAAGAACTTTATTTATGGATAGATGCAAGGTGATCAGGGAGGTGATAGAATTGATGGCAACTGGTCGGTTTGGTATTTAGAAAAGGTTAACTAATACGAAGTGGTGCACTGAGGAAATTTACAAATATCTAGGCTTCCTGCAGTTGAGAAAGATTAACCACATAGTAATTCACCAAACGTTCAAACATATGTAATTACGTGTTAAGGAAGAACATCTTGGTGCAGAAAAATATTAAGGAAATTAGCATCTTCTTAATATTAGTCTTGCAGTTATTTGATATCATAGGGACTACACAATTCAGGCCCAGCCAACTCTAAATGACACATAACATCACAAAAGATATATTCCATGGTGGAGGTAGAGAGGAACAAGTAAGACAGATCGTTTTTATAAAATCAAGATCTCAAAACGAAGGGATAGATTCTTCAGCAACATAACTAATGTTAAGTAATGTCACTATAATCTTATATTATTTTAATTTGTGGCCAATAAAGTGTAGCCTAGGAGGAAATCTAAAAACATATCCAAAGCAAATGCAGAGAAACCCCCCTTTTTCATACCAGTCTTGCAAAGATTGTGTTCATGAGGCAAGTGATTTGTTTTCAAGGATTTGCCTGGGTGGTTTAGATTCTTGCGATCAGGACAATTATATTGTAAATGTGTTGCTAATGTTTAGATGATGTTTAGTTTGGTGCCTAGCAAAAAAATAGAAAGGTACCATCTTAGCTGCTGTGGGTTCTTTGCAAAGTTACAACAAGATGATCCAGGCTTTCTGTGTGGACCTATGAAACGGATTAATGTAAGAATTCAGTGGGTTCCAAACTTCAGTCAGTGTGATCAGTTTTGCCCATCTGTACTGCTAGTTAGCATGCTTTTTAAAAAAAAAAATCAAATTACTATTTTTTACCTTAAATATATTTTAAAAGCAGCCTAATAAATATTTCCATCTGAAATCATCTCTGATAGACATTCTTTGGAAAACACTTCAATTACAATATTAATGATGATGATAAGTCACAACTATTTTAAAACTAATTCTATGCAATAGAGACATGATGGCAGAGAGAACATTAGAATCCTTAGAGATCACGGGCAAGTATTATAAATCATATGCTCAGGTCACAGTTTGCTCTTTGTGGCTTTATTTAAGAAGCTAGTTAATGTTTACATGACATTGAACTTCAAAGTCCCGACAATAAGGAGGAAAATGAGTGGAAGAGAAAAACGGTTTATGTTTTTTGCTTTTCCTTGCTCTGTGGAGAGGCCCCAGAAGTCAGGAGGACACAAGCTCTAGGAAACCCAAGGAGGGTGGTAGGATCTTAGCTTACCAGAATACAATAATTTTTTAATTAAATTATAAAAATGTATTATGCTAAGTTCCCTTACTCACAAGGCAAGTATTCTTGTTAGGGTGTCATTGTGTTTTTAAATTATAGTCTTCTTTCCTTCAGTCTTGTTATAAAAATTTTTTTAATCCTCACCCAAGGGTATGTTTATTGGTTTTTAGAGAGGAAGGGAAGGAAAAAGAAAGAGAAAAACATTGATGTGAGAGAGAAACATTGATCAGTTGCCTCCCATACATGCCCCAATCAGGGATCGAACCTACAGCCTATGGATGTGCCCTGACTGGTAATCAAACTGGCAATCTTTGGTGTATGGGATGATTATCGCGGCACGGTGAAATTCTCTACCTTACTTTTTTGTAGTGATATAGTCTCTGGTCATATTGTGTGCCTTTATTGTGATGCTCTTGGCTTATAGAAGTGAGTGCTATTAATGTAACAAAGAAGGACATTATCTGCAAAACACAATAAACATCCTATTTTTCTCAAGTACTTCTTTCTGATCTCTCTTCTTTTGGGGTTGTTAACTTATTCCTGACTTTTAAAGTTAGGCCCACCTCATGCATGACAATTCAGTAGACAACCAGAATAGCAACAAATATAATGTGGATGGTTTTTCAGATGGGCCCCTAGATCAGACATTCTTCCAGCCTCGCCCCCCACTGAGGATCCAGCCTGTAATTCCATCAAGTGCCCTGACTGGGAGTCAAACCAGCAATCTTTCGGTGCACAGGACAATGCCCAGCTAACTGAGCCATACCGGCCAGGGCAAGGCAGGATGAGATTTAGAAAGCTAACTTCCTCCTCCCTCAAGAAGGGGAAAGAAAACTCTTTACTTTGTAAGTGTGGTCTGCATGTAGTGACCTTCCAAAGAGCACAGTGTGGGAAGGGGGTGGGGAGTAACTGTACAGGGGAGAGACCTGACAGACAGGACTCAACCAGATGACCAACATCAACATCAACTGTGATAACTCATGTTAATAGCACATACCTCGATATGATATGATGAAAATGGCACCTGACCTCTATGTGCTTCCTCTTGACGACCTATAACTCCAGTCTGATAATAAGAAAAACATCAGAAAAATCCAAACTGAATGAAATTCTTTAAAACTTGACCAGCACTCTTTAAAACTGGAAAGATCATAAAAAACAAAGAAAATGTGAGAAACTATCCCAGCCCAGAGACACCTAAGGAGACTTGACAATCAAATGTAATGTGGTGTCCTGGGTGCTTTCCTAGAACAACAGAAGGACTTTGCTTAAAAACTAAGGAAATCTGAACAATGTATAGACGTTATTTAATAATGCATCAAAATTAGTGTACTAGTTATGATGAAGGTAACACACTAAGGTAAGGTGTTAAGAATAGGGGAAACTTAGGTGTTGGATATATGGGAATTCTCTGTACTGTCTTTTCTACTTTTCTCTATACCTAAACTATTTTAAAATTAAAAGACATTTTTTTAAAAACCAAAACGAAGTAACAGAGAAACCCATGGTTGGAGAACCATGGTTGACTCCCAACATTTCCTAAAAATCCTAGGGAAACTTCATATAATCACATCCAGAACTAAGTTGTGTCTCTCATGGCTGTAAATCCAAGATTAACGGGGAGGGACAGATTCTAGTTTACAATCTGGTGCTTGAAGCTACTTCAGGAAGGGAAACCCAGAAGGAGAGGCAGGGATGAGATGTACAGGGTGGGACAAAGTAGTTTACATTTGTTCACATAGAAAATAATGCAGTAATTAGTAAATAATAACACAATAGTAAACTCTGTGTTCTGAGTAATCACAACTGTAAACCTACCCTTGTCCCACACTGTACTCATTCTTTCATTCATACACCCTGCTCCGAAACAGTGATACGCTCTCCCAGTTCAACAATCCCAGTCTACGTCATGGACTTCTCCGAGTCTGTCCATCCTTATAGGTAGTGTTTCTTATTCACTTTCATACCACCCTACAGCTTTCTGCTTGTGGCTTTACCCACCACTTACTTGCCAATAATTCTCTGATATGTAAATAGATCCACTTGTCTAAAGACATCCCAGCCGAAACCGGTTTGGCTCAATGGATAGAGCGTCTGCTTGGGGACTGAAGAGTCCCGGGTTCGATTCCGGTCAAGGGAATGTACTTTGGTTGCGGGCATATCCCCAGTAGGGGGTGTGCAAGAGGCAGCTGATCGATGACTCTCTCTCATCGATGTTTCTAGCTCTATATCTCTCTCCCTTCCTCTCTGTACAAAATCAATAAAATATATATTTTTTAAAAAAATAAAGACATCCCAGCCCTGGCCGGTTTCGCTCAGTGATTAGAGCCTCAGTCCTCAGACCAAATGGTCTCGAGTTTGGTTCCTGGTCAAGGGCATGCATGTACTTCAGTTGCAGATTCAATCCCTGGTCCTGGTTGGGCTGCAAGCAAGAAGCAACCAAATAATGTCTGTCTGTCTGTCTCTCTCTCTTTCTCTTCCCCTCCTCTCTCCCTCTCACTCTTTCTAAAAATCAATGGAAAAAAATATCCTCAGATGAGGATAAAAATAAAAATAAAAATAAAAATAGAGATATCCCTAATTGGATATCCCATGTACACAACATACAGTGGCACTTATTGCTTTCAGAGAGGAAGGAGAGGGAGAGAGAGAGACACGTCAGTGATGAGAGAGAACCACGGATTTGCTGTCTGCTGTTCACCACTTTCTGGGGACTGAGCCCGCAGCTCAGACGTGTGCTCTGATCAGGGACAGGTCGACGCTCAACCACTGAGCCACACCGGTCGGACCCACTGCTCTTCTTTCAGTCCCTCTCTTTATGAATGATGACACCACCCCATCAGCTCAGGAGCTCACCCGCAAACCCCCTCCACTACCAAACTGTCCAGCTTCTTCCTTCATGTTTTTCAGGGCTGAGCTCTTCTCTCCATCCTCGGGTCTTAGTTCAGCTTCTTACCTGTCTCGTTCCAGAGACAGCTTCATCCCCTAGCTGGACTCCCACCTCCAGCCCCATCTACCCCAACTCTGCCCAAGCAGGGGTCACAGATCTGTCCATGCTGCTCCCCTGCTGACAGT